GTAAAATCGTGTTCTGTCAGAGTAACTTGGGTGACATTTGGTAAAGGTCGGTACTAGGGGTGTGCAATATATATCGTCTGCGATAATATCGTAATTGTTGTTTTAACGATGTGCGATTTGACATTATCGAGTATTTTGCAAAAATCATTCAAAACATCCCTACAGAGCGCACGCATACATTACGTGAAGTCTAGACTAGTGCGTGTGCGCATTTAGTGTGTTTTCTTTCACTGCATGATTCAGTCTATTAAAATGCATTTAGAATGATCACAAATTCAAGACATGATGGCAGAAAATTTATATATTTATACCACTTCATATAGTTATTCAATTTCACACGAAGAGTGCCGTTTTTCTCCAAAAATTACCATGATTACAAATGTGACATTGAATTCAATAAACAATAAGTTAATCAAGAGACTTACGTTTTAGACACCATATTGCTTGTTTTTGCTCTATTTCGCCAACAAAAATCATCCCGAATACAGTCACAGCGCTGTTTTGTGTCTCTGAGCAACATTCGTTCTTGACGTTCTTGAATGAATCAACCGTTTAAATGATTTTGTTCAATCGCAATGACTCACTTATTATGCTGCCACCTTTGCTGCCACCTGCTGGTTTTAATTTCAAATTTCGGCTTTTTCTTTCTTTTTCTTTTTTTCTTATTTATTTCAAATATCAGTATTCAACGTTTTATGTTTAATATATCAAAACATTATTTATGCATTTGTAATTGCAGGTTAAATGCATTCGTGTCTTGCATTAAACAAAATACATGTGTAAATACATCTAAATGCCACTTCAGATGCAGCTTCTGTGTTGATTTCATTTGCTCGGTAACAGCCCAAATGTCTTATTCTAATTCCCTGATTAAATGTAAGAATTTGACTCAAAAGATAATGGACACTTTTAGAAAAAATGGCTTTATAAAGGTAAAAATGCCCATAAAATGCAAAAATCAGTTTAAACTTATTGGAAAAGATTAATTTCTATCAGTATGAACTGACCACCACACAGAATATGAAGAATATTAAAAACATTAGGAGTCAGCTGTCTTCGGCCGTCCTTAAGGTACCAGCATAACACACTCAGCAAAATATCGTCTAATTATCGTTATCGATTAAATCCCATAAAATATCGAGATATAATTTTTTGTCAATATCGCACACCCCTAGTCGGTACTATTCTACATAATCCAGTTCATGAAGTACATAATTAGTGTAAAGCACTTCTTGTTGATCGTATGATGTTTGTGTGCTCGTATAATGAAGTGATTTGACTTTGAATGACACCATGCAGCAAAAGATTGAACATTCACATCACAAAGCACTATAGGAGCTTGATAATAATATTGTTTGTTTGTTTGATTGTTTTATTATTATTAATAAGAATAATATTGGTATTATAGCAAAACCACGAGACCTTTCGTATGAAGCTACGATCACTTCTTTTTATGAAGCAATAGGCATTTTGATCATTCAAAATTGAGGAAAATCAATAGCCTATTAGAGAGCCATGTCTTTTTATTAAGCAATATAAAATTTGATCGTAGCTTCATATATATAATCAGACTCATACTGTGATTTACAGAGGACACCCACTTGAACATTCAGTGAAACTCTTTTGAAAATATATTGTAAACACTAAATATCTGTTTAAAAGTAGACCTATTTAGTACAAGAATCATTAGACATTAAAGAGTCTATTTTATCAATCTTTGGCAGCAATCTTGAAACCACTAGATTTTACTCATTTTTTAGCATGACGATTTGAATAATAAAAAAATAGAATAATAAAATGTAGTGTGTTTACTTTTATATATTTTAATAAGTACAGGTTAGAATAAGTATGTTGTTTAATTTGCACCTACATATCTGTTATGCAGAATGACAGTGGGACATTTCACCCATTTTTGGATCCATTTCATTTTCCCAAATGTTATTTGAAACGTTAAAGCAGACACTTGCATTTAATATGCTATTTATTTATGAAATCATCTTTGTGTTCTGTTTTGTCCCACGTGGGAGATGATGTGGTCTAACTATTTACAGTGTTTCCACGACCTGAACTGTAAAACGTGTTTCCTGAAGTCAGTGCTTATCGCAACAGACACAGAAAGGACTTGTAGGTTTCTGATATCTGAGCTAAAATCTTATTAGTATGTTTGTAGTAGGCCATTTAACACTCTGTACTTTGATGTAAATATCTGATCCAAGGCATGTGGTTGAATAATTGCGTGATGTGTTGCCAGTGATTGAGATGGGCTTTTGTGCTGTCGTTTGTCCTGCAGGCTCTTGGAGGAATGTTACGGCATGAAGGATCCCTTCAGCCCAGAGAGAGAAAAGTTTCTGGTTTTAGGATCCAAGTGCTGTCTGTGCAGTAAGACGGTGTGTGTTGGGAACGGTACATGTAGCTTTGATAAGAAACAAAAAACATGACTCTCCAATAGGCTGTTAGTTTTCCTCCTTTTTGAATGATTCAATGAAAGAAATAATGTATAGAAATGATCCTCCATCTCTTCCATTATGTTCAAAATTGTGAAGATATAGATCAAACAATATTTTTATGCTTGCACGCAGTGAAGAACAACGATGGCGTCATCATTATGATATACATTTATTGGAAGCAATGTCAACATATCAACAAGCTTGTGTTTTTGTGTTTGTTTGTTTTCTGACAGGACTGCAGTCGTTCTGTTTGCCCTGTGTGCGGGACCACCTTCGGCAGTTTCCAGAACAGGTTCAGAACGAGGTGCTGAGGAAAAAGAGTGTCCAGAAGACGTCCTCTTCATGATGCTAGAATGACTTAGTCAGGACACTAGTGAGCCATCTGGCCAGACACACAATATTAACTGGTTTTTTTTATTTATTATTTTTGTGTTTGTCTTGTGCAACTGGAGGCAGCAAACCATGTTTTGATTCAAATCATTTCTGTGCTGTCATTTACTGTTTTGAGTTTTACAAACGAGTGTTATGATGGTGATAAATGCCTTGTCGCATGTAGCAACTATAAAATAAATGATGTTTATGTCATCGGTTGCGATTACTTGCTGGCTGAAAAGATAAATGACTGATATATTCATGTCTGATGATGTAGGTGAGTCCTGAACCAGTTGTTGGAGTGCAAACCTGTTGTGAGCATCAGCATGCAAACACTACTACTACACCACAGATCCTTCCGGCCATAAGTTGAGGCTGAGCCTGACTAAACCCGACTCAGGTACGTAGTGAAGTATAAGTTCCAGCACATGCATAGTTGGAGATCTGTGGCTCAGCAGTCTGAGCGCTGGCAAACAATGCCAGAGGTTCCTGGTTCAAATCCAGCCAGATCTACACAATTAATCAATTGCAGTGGGCAGAGGAGGAGCTGACCAGACCAAGGATGCAGCAGTGGTGGAGCTGGAGGACCTATAAGTTCCAGCACATGCATAGTTGGAGATCTGTGGCTCAGCAGTCTGAGCGCTGGCAAACAATGCCAGAGGTTCCTGGTTCAAATCCAGCCAGATCTACACAATTAATCAATTGCAGTGGGCAGAGGAGGAGCTGACCAGACCAAGGATGCAGTGGTGGAGCTGGAGGACCAGACTGGACGATGGCGCAGAGGAACCAGAGAGGAGTGGCTGACCAGACCAAAGATGGAGCATTGGCATTGCTGGAGAGTGGAACAGCAGACCAGATGGAGGTGCATGTGGCTGACCAAACGGAGCATAGAGTGGAATGGCAAACAAAGTGGTGAGACGAGAGTGATGACAGCACCCGAAGAAAGAAGAAGGAGGACCATGACTGTGGTCCCCCGGCCTCCAAGACAGTGACCAGCAGCAGTTATGCATTTTTCCAAAACTTAGCTGTTTTCAAAGTACAATTACTTCTGTACATGCAACAACTCACCATCATCCACTAGATGGCAATAAAGCCTGTATCTCCAGCAACTTTTCCACCAATTAATTTTTTTTTTAAGCCAACAAGTCTATCATACTTTTTAAATACATTAACTTGCTCTTGAGAAGTATGTCTCTATTCATGTGTAAGTCTAAAGGTGAGCCTGGAACATTTCAGCTACTTACTACTGGTAAAGCCAAAAGCTGCCTGCCAACTATGACCTCAAACTTGGCTTACAGCTATATCACATGCACATTATAAAGTTTTGCTATTATCTTTTTAACACCTTCATGACACATTGCTGATTTAGGCAAACCACAATTTGCCGCTGTGTTGCCAGATCAACATTTCATACAACAAGTGGAAAAAGGTTATAACCTTTTGCTCTCACTTTCCATAATATTTAAAAGCCATACGGCCCTTATTTAATTTGCACAACTTTTTCAAACTACATTACATTTTTATTTAAGGGCAACTGATTTCTGTTATTTACTCAACTTACAAGAAAACAATATTTCAAATAGTTTCTTTCTTCCCCCAGGCAATCTACCTCATGAACAATTACAAAACATGTGCAATAACCTTCTATTTATTTGTTACCACCCTACTCTATTTTATTTAGAGCACATCTGTACAACATTTATTTTACTTTCCAATTTATTGTTCTACATACATTTGGTTTGTTTAAATATACACGTGTGCATTTTCTTCACATCTGTGTACTGGAAGCTTGTGACCCGAAAACAAATTCCTTGTGTGTAAACATACTTATCAATAAAGCTCTCTCTGACTTCTGAAATATTTTACAGCTTGATAAAACTAAGCATTTTTCCTCAAAGACATTTCAACAGCATTTCCGTGATTTTTGCTGGTCACGCTTTTAAAATTAAGCAAAACTTCTTCAAAGAATGGTTTCTTCTTCAAAAGAAACAATAGTTAAAGGACTGAGTTAAAATAACTAAATTGTTTCCTGGCTTTCACTAATTTTAATGACCGTGCGTCTCATTTGAGATCATCTCGAGGGCCCCAGGGTTCACGACATTTGCACCAAATAGCACATAAACCAGGGTCGCTGGCTTACAATAAGCGCACCTGGCAACACGACACTGCGGGAAGCGCGAGTCTCTAGTACTTGTATCGTTTTTCACTGATGGGCGGGCCCCGCGCTCCGCCGGCCAATGAGAAGCGTCTTCTGTTTAAATAGCCTTCGCTGTCAATCTTTTTTTCCCCTGCCAGTTTACTTGCGATCGCCATATTGGGTGCTCGCCTACTCGAATGACTCGTCTGTTTTTCTTCGGAATTACTACGAGACGGCATCGGAGTCGCGCGCTGTTTTCATGACTTGTTTTCCACGCGCCTTAGCCTTTCCGCACGCATTTGCGCGTTTGTTATGCGTGCGCTCTGCGTCTCGCTTTGCTTTCTCGGGAAGTAGGATCGCTCTTAGTTAGACCGCGTCTGGCTCGATTGTGACTGCGATTCTCGGGACGAACTTTAACGTGCAAAATGTCAAAAGTGCGCGTCTCCAATGGAAGCCCGACGCTGGAGAGGGTGGACGCGAGGCAGGCGGATCACGCCAAACCGCCGGTCTGCAGAAACCTCTTCGGCTCCGTGGATCGCGAAGAGTTCGCGAGAGACGTCAAGGAGCAAATGCTGGACATGGAGAAAGCGTCCAAGGAAAAATGGAATTACGACTTCGCCAAAAACGAGCCGCTCGCGCCTGGCGACTACGAGTGGCAGGAGGTGGACGCGAAAGAGGTGCCGGAGTTTTACACCAGACCGCCTCACGCAAAACGGGATACCTCGACCGGGACTGTGGATCATAACGGGAACCACGACTACTTGTTGACAACGAGCGTACAGGGGGACTCGGACAACGCGGAGCACGGGAGTCGCTCGGATTGCCGAACGGCGCTGACCACGCCGACAAAAAGACCGTCGACAGAGGATCGGGGTAAATGTTTTGGGAGTCTCGGTGCTCTTGGGTTATTTGCGCGCAGATCTCGGGGGACAAACAGTTTGCCCTCCCGATCGTGCGTAATGCTGAAACTGCTTGCTTTCGCGGTCTAGCTCGCAAATGAAGTCGCTTTTCTAACACCATCTTCATTCTTTCGATAGATCTTCCTTGCCAAAGCAAAAGAGCCAACGTCCAAGCGACCGAGGCGAACTGCTGTCCAGAGACGAGTTCGCAAGCGCCCAGCAAGTCGGATCCCAAAACGTAAACAAGGTGAGTTTCGTGCGCGCTGTCTGGTGCACGACTTATTTTATGCATCGATGTAAACGCGTTACTTAATGCTAACAAGATCGCGTTCAACATAGCTGATGTTATTTTTTATTTTATATATATATATTTGTTCTCTCTGTTGTATTGTTGCGCGCTAAAACGCTAACAATGTTCGTTCCTTGACGCGTGCTTGTCCACGCGTTCGCACTGTACAAAGCGTTTGGTTTGGTCTTTTAAAAACAAACGCCCGTTTAAGACGTTCTGTCACCGCGCAAGTGACAGTCGAGTCAAACGGGACTCAAATGCATAACATTGTAGTAACACGTCAGCAGGTCTCTTGTAGGGTGTGCGCGTGGGAGGAGGAGGGGGTCTGGGTTCACAATGCAGGCATATACTTGCGCGCAAAATTCCTCGCTTTTCATTCGCGCTGTCCTGCGCTATCGCTCCTGTTTTAAACGCGTCGTGGAGATGGCCGTGTGTTTACGCGCAAATATTGTTGCCGTATTTTTCTGTGTACTTTATTTCATGCATTGTGTCGTTGTGAAGTTTTTGCAAGCGCGTTCGACATGCTATTTCCTTTGCTAATCAACTTTTTTCCCTTGTTCCCTGCAGAGACGGATGAAGAAGACTAATTTCTCCATCAAATACTTCAAGAGCTTTATGAAGTAAACAGGGACAGCGGTTGAAAAATACAAATCGAGCCTTGGAGAGGCTATATAAGCACTGAATTTTTACACTAAACTTTTGGCACTCGACAGAATATATTTGCCTCAAAAGCAGACAATGTAGCAGTGTGCAATTGGAGTTTCGTTTGTTCTTTTACTACCTATGTATATACTTTCATTTTATATGTAGCACATTTAAATGTAATATTAAGATAAAAAAAAAACACAATCATTTATAAATGGAGTGCGTTTGACTTGAAGAATTGCTGTGCAGTTTTCAAAACGTCTCCCCCAAATGAACCCTTTTAAAGTAAATATATCTATGTCAAATACAAACACACACACCATTTCCCTTTAATTAGGTTTAACAATCCCACTGTCTCAGTTTTGGCTGGCTCAGGATGTTCACAGTCAGAAATACACCTTCATGTGTATCAGTGTTGTGCTCAACAGCAGCAGCACAACCTTGGACATTTTTTTAAGTTGCACAAATGTCACTGTTTGAAAAGCATTACAGACTTTTTCACCTTCTGTGATCTGGCTAAATTAAAATGATCCGATATTTGCATTAATACCGTTCATGTTTATTGGTACTTGTATATGATTTTACCAGCCAAAGTTACAGCACGTTGGGCATGTGGTGTTCTTCTCTGAAGGGACTGTGACTCCTAGTGTGGTATTAAGTTTTTCATGCTTTTTTACAGTATTATTATATCCCCGGGTTATTCCACTAATTTTTTTCCCCCTTATTTTAAATTAATTCTTTTTTTTCTTATTTTGCCATAAAGATGCAAATTCACATGAACTACAAATCCTACTGAGTACACATTAAAAAAAAAAGTGCAACTGTAGTGACCAATTGATTTTCTTATTTTTTGTTTTTGTCAATTTTATGGGGTTTTTTTTCTATTCATTGCTGTGTAGCATAATGTATATATAAATATATATTTCTTTTTTTTTTCTTTAACACTGGGCCATACAATTAAGAACAATGTTAGTCCATGAAGCCACTTCTTTGCCACAATATATTTGGCTTTCGTGATGAACATGACATGGCACTATGACAAAAAAAAAAAAGAAAGTAAAAACCGGCAAAAAATTAAATTAAGACGTTACACTGCACGTGTGTAAAACATTGAAGTGTACCTGTGTGTACTGCTTTCTAAAGAAGAAAAAAAGATAAAAAATAAAAAAAACAGGAAATTATACTAACTTATTTATGTTAAGCTTTTTGTTGTTTATGACTATCCAAAGTGGCATTTGTGCATTTTCTGTATGTACTTCATTTTATACTTTTTTTTTCCCTCCACAAATTTGTGCAAGGTTGCAAACTGAGCCTATTAAAAATTTGATGTGGATTGTGTACTGCTTTATAAATGAGATGATTAAACCATAATGACATGAACACCTTCACCTGACTCCTTTTCATTATATTGTGCAGAATGAAAACACACTCTTAGGGGGAATCTTAAATACACTTCTTACACCCTGCATTATTAAATACACTTCTTACACCCTGCATTAGCAAAAGCCTCAAACTGACCTTAAGCTGTGCTACAAACCTAAATACCTTTAAAACAAATCATAACAGAAGTGATAAATAAATACATCACTCTGGTGCTAAACTGGTATGTGGCAGAATGAAACCTATGGAATTTAGTGTTCTTTTGTTTTTGTTTTTTTGACAACCCACACATGCACCTTTCCACAAATGCACAATTATTCAGTTTAAACTGTACCCACATTTTTTTTTCAATTTAATGATAATTAACAAGGCAGGACAACATGCTTAAAAAATAAATTTTCTTATGTAGTGTAATACATATGATATGATTAACCTGCTATTAAACTGTTGCCACATTTCAGATCCCTTTGAGATTGTATTCAAATAATGTGTTACATGTAATATTTCATATGAAATGTAAATAGCAAAGAAGTTCTGTGTTGAATTTTAATGTGACACGTTTAAAAAATAAAACAAAACATTAAAAAAAACCTTGGCACTGCAAAATACTACAACTGACCCCAGTATGTTTTGTTTTAATATATTAATAAACACAATGGGTCCAACTATATTACTCAAAACACGCTGTGTCAAATCGAAACGCCGTTTGACTTTAAAGTGTTTGGTCGCGCGTGTTGACTTGCAAAAGACACACACCCTCAAATATTTATCGCGATTGGAGATAACGTACGTGGTCACGTTGAACTTATTCTGCTCGTACATTATCCTTGTAATATACAGGGTATTTTCGGTGAATTTTTACAGCGTTTTTGCAGCTTGCGCACCGTTTGGTTATTTAACTCAACGTGCAACACGTTTGTGCGTAAAGCTGCTGCGTTTCTAACACACGACCTGCGGAGCTCCCTGCTTCACAGGTGTCCTCATGGTGTAGTTCATCATGTTAACATATGAACACGTTTCACAACATTTGACAACCAGAAAGTGTCCAAGACTTTTTGTCTTCATTTTCAACAATCTATCAATTGCTTCATATTTTAAAACCTAATAAACTTCCTTTTGTGACGGAAAAGTGTGCTTGTGCTATATTTGGTATATATTTTTAATTATTTCTCAAGTGTCCAAATACATTTTGGGTGTCATTTATATTTATTACTACAATGATTCAACCAGTTTTAAGGTACAGAACAACGGTAGGCAGGCGTACAGCTGGCAGAGATGGTCAGCTACACTCAACTTCTGAGCTTGACTTGTGCATCTCCCTGCACCTCATAAAGGGGAGGATGATATCACGGCACAAAACAAACAAATGCCAGAGATGACCTCACGTACCGAAGGCCGCTGACGATTGAGTGCTGGTTCGCTTTTGTCTTCACCACCCTCTATTTACACTTGCTGCGTTCGCTCGCTCGCGAGTAATTACAGAGTCCCGCTCTCTGAGATCAGCTCTTAGATATGTGCGGAGCCGCAATCTCAACGCCTGCAACAATAAGGTGCGGAGCGGCCAAACTTCCCTCCAACCCTGTCAAACTAACACCACATTTCCAGGACAAAATTAGCTGAAGGCTATTTTAACAACCTTGCAGATAATGAGAGGAGAAGGATCGTAAAATCAGAAAATGTTTACAGCTGGCCCTATTAATAGATATTTTACACAGCTCCGCACATGACCTCATATTTGGCCTTCCCGTTGGGAATGAAACCTTTGTGAATCTCAATCTTATTTTGGAAATGCAACGTACCATCTGTTTCGCATTGTTATTAATTTGAGTGAATTTTATGAGCCTCAGTGTGCTTTTTTTCGTTTCTCGGCCTCTCTTTGCCCAGCAGTCATGTGTTTTGGCTGTCCTCCGCTCAACTAGAAACCTGTGTCGGCCAGGCAGAGAAACAACCTCTGGCGGATATTCGGTCTAAGTTGGCCCAAAATGTGTCCAAAAGAAGGATGTAAACAGTCACCTTTGCCAGCGGGTTTTTTTTGTGTGTGTGTTCTGGCTCTCGAAGCTCAACGTCGTGCTGTGAACTTAACATGCATGTGTGTTTTTGGTTTGCTCTCAGTGTTGTACTCGTGGGGTCAACCAAATTTTCCCCTCCCTTCACTCTCTTTATCTGTACTGATCAACTGCCTTTCATTTCTTTTATCTAACCCTATCTTTTTACAGGAAAAAATGGATGTAACAGATTACAAATAATAAGTGCTGACTCCCAAAGTGAACGCATCACGATAGTGCTTTGCTTGTATACTGTAGTATGTGTGTGTGTTTATGTATACTCATACTCATATATACTCAAAACTATGCGCAAGTGCACCTAGGGCAAAAGCTGCTTTTAATGGTCACACCAAATGTTGATTTAATTTAGTTAATAGAAGTTAATTGATAAAGAAAATATATTTATGACAGCATCCTCATTTTACAGCATTTTTGCACAAGTGCTTAAAACTTTTAACAGTATTGTAGCTTTAGTGACTGAATTTATTTTCACCTGGAGGACATGTAGGATGGACAAAATACTGTACAATGAACTTGCACTGCAGAAGGTCCCAAGCCAAGAAACCTGAATCACAGGGGTTTCTTAAGGAATAGCCTTTTTTGAGTTGGGCCAGTAAGTAACACCCTAGCAACCACCCAATACCTTAGAAACCACCTAGCAACAAACTAAGGGTGTTTTCACATATAGTTCATTTTAAAAGAACCAAACCCAGTTCACTTAAAGTGAACCAGAAAGAGAACCAGCTGAAAGTGACCACAGTCTACGTATAGTGGACTCAAAATTGAACCCAGTTCTTTTTTTGGTCCTCTTCAGCACTGAAGTGATCTCAGACCCTTTCTTGTACACACCACAACTTCATAAGAACTCAGGCCGCAGCTTCTGGAAAAACTTAGAAGATGAAGTGGAGAGGGAAAGGTGGTGAGGAAGGCTGGCAATCCCTGATCATGCCACCAGTCAAGACATTCGCAGAGCTTTAACAACACATTTCAGTCAAATTTAAAATTAAAACGGAACATTATTTATAAAGTTCATGCAACTTCCTTTTTACTCAAATAAGATAGTGACAGTTGAAAAATGTTTCTTTGTTCCTTTTTATTAAAATTCACAATAAGCTGCATTTCATTGTTCAGTTTTCGCAATTATTGTTTTTTCTAAGGAATTCTAAAATATTGTACCATGGTCTGACTGAATACTCAATTCTGATTGGCAGCAGTTGCGTTTGTATGAAACAAGAGGGAGTGAGTCCGAGATATCAGGATGACATAGTTAAATATTTGTACAGAGAATATCGATGTTTTTAGTTTTAATATTTTATTAACCATCCAAACGCAAAGCTTCCACGAAGAAACAATGTTCCCAGCAAGCGAATAGCGCTGACTGCAGTTAACCGGATGAGTCTGTGCTATTCGTTTTTACCGGTTGTTACTGAGGAATAACATAGCTTGGAATGTGGTGACTGACCAATCCGAATCAAGTATTCCACAGAGCCGTGTAATAAAACGGTTTAATGCACAGGTTCAAGTTAGTCTAATCACCATTCTATAGGCCTATTTATGCGATGCTTTGCTGCACGTGCACACACACACACACACACACACACACAAGTCACTCTCATACAGAGATCAGAGATCACGCAGCACACACACATAAACATTCAGGAGCACAGAAACTTCTTGTCAAAGCTGCTGCACAACTTTTATTAATAAAATAGCTTCGATTCTGAATCGCTACATTATATTTCTTAGCTTTCATCTCCCCCCCTCTCTCTCTCGATCGTTTGATAATTATTTAAAATCAATGCTATAATTCATGCATTTAAATAAACATGATCTTACTGAACCATTTAATCTCTGTGATTTAAAGGTGACATATGAAAATCTGACTTTTCCAGGTTTTAAGCGCTATAATCAGGTCCCTGGTGCATCTACCAACCAAGGAAATGTGAAAAAGATTAACCCAGTAACTTTGTTTTGGTAAGCCTTTTTCTGCAAGCGTCTGAGAAAACGAGCGCGTCTGATTTCGCTCCCTTGGTGACATTCGCAAGCGACAACGGTGTACCAGCTCTAACGCCATAAACTTTGGGGTATTGGGAACACAAGTAGTTTATGTAATTCATAAT